GACTCCTAAGAATTCCATGGACAGCCCAAAAATGAAATCCATGGATACCCTCATTTACTATCACCTGGTTAGGTTTTAAGGCACATATTATTTATTAATTAAATTTATATGACACCCATCTTATTGTTGGAGTGACTCTTGGCGGCATCTAAATTTAATTAATAATAAATAAATGAATTCTGTCTCTTACCTTCTCCCATCCCCACTGGATTACTTGGTTTGCTTTTTGGTTAATTTGCTTTTTGGTTAAAAAATGGCACAGTCATTCATTTTCAAGGGGAAAATATTTTTTATAAGACTGGAGTTAAGAAAATTTTTCAAAGAATAGGTATACATTTTTCTTTCTCTCTCTGCAGACAAACCCATGAATATTAGTAAAGTTTGAAATAAAAATACAGACCTCTAATGTAATATTACTGCTTTTCATCTGTATATTGGAGACAAGAAACGGATCAGGCACTTTTCAAAGCAAAACACTTCATTAGAAGGAAATATTCTTAAATAATGAATACAAGTTTTCAGTCAAGGACTTGGTTGAAAGGTGGGTGAGTGGATAGGGTACTGAGAAGAAATGGAAACTGCAGCAAGTTCCATTGTAATCAATCTTCAGTGAACAAGGAGAAAAGATCCCATATACATGTTTCTTTAAGACTTAAGAATTAATTTGCAGTACTTTTCATTCAGTCTTTCGAGAAAAAAAAACGAACAAAGAGTGGTGGTTTTTTTTTAAAAAAAAAACTTAATTATGGAGCCATTCATTAGGATACTTTTAGATGGAAGTCTCTGAACATAGCTGCCAAACCAAGACTAGATTTTCATTCCTCTACTTCAGTGTTTTTCTGTGCCTCTCTAAGTTTCTATACCAAATCATTTCTTTCTTTTATGGAGCTCATTAATTTAGGTAGAGATCAACTTTGTAACACCTGGGTGAGTTCTGCAGGTTTTTGTTCACAAACAATGCACTTAAATATTCGTTCTTGCATACTTCCCTCTCATTTACAGTATAAGCAGTTCTGTTTATAGTTCATGTGGTCAGATACTTTTTCAGTCATGTCATTACTTTCCAAGAGCTTATGCTGTGTTCATTAAGAGACAAATAGATAGTTAGGGATGAGGAGACTATATCATTAATAAAGCATTTGATGTATGTGAAGAGGGCTTGTGAGTTTGATTTTTGGTCTTGAAACACTCTGGTGCTTTGGGGTCTTAAAGACCTGTGAGTGGGTGGCAAAGAAAATCTTTAATTGACCAGTTTGGAGACGGGGTGAAAGGAAGGATGATATTTGATTAGTTGAATTGATTGGCAGGCATCCCAGAGTTTTGTGCCACTGGAGGCAAAGGGAAAACAGGATGATAACTAGGATATCAACCAATATTAAATTAATTTTGTTTTATACCCCATTAGAAAGTCTCAGATGATGGAACAAACTTCTCACTTAGAAAGAGTCATTCTAATGTTCAAAAATCATATAGGGATTATGCTGATCAAAATGCACTTTGTTGTAACTCTCAATGAAAACTGGCAAGTTCAGTACATATGTTATACAATAAGTTCTGTACATAAATATTATACAATATTTATTCCTTGACTTCCTCTTCAGTATCTCACTGCAAAGGTGTTTTCTGAGTGTTAAATGGGAAATTCTAATCCTGTCTACTTGGATAAACATCCAAGGGAGATAAGTGAGACGTGCTTCTCCATCAATAAAAAAGATATTTGCTAGAGGGGATAAGTCTTCCTCAGAGGCCCACAAATGTCTGCAGTTGTAACGCTATGAAACCAAATGCTTTTAGCAACGCAAGCATGGTTTAATTCTTCACAACTTGACAATAGAAAAATTGCACTGATTCTCAATGTTTGTTTATTGCTTATTTCAGTTAGCCTTAATATAACACAGACTCCTGATAGCAACTTTTACAGCAGATCTGGTAATTCAAATATGTAGTCCTGCCAATATTTCCCCCTTAACACATTCTTAGATATTTATGCTTTGTTTGTTTACTTATAATATTTGTAGAGCACCCCACCCACAAGACTCTGGGATGCGTACACTGAAGCATACATGCTTGAAAAATAAACAAAATGCAATCAAGGTAGAACAGAACAAAAACAAATGTACATTGTAAGAGAATACCTACCATTAACCAGGGCTCAGCAGCACGATTAAAATACAATAACCTTACTATCTTTCAGAATCCCAGGAGGGAGATAGCTATACAACCTCCATGGAAAGCATGTGTCAGAGCATGAGATATAGAAAAGACCTGATACCTGTCCTATATACCTCCCAGGGAAAGGGACGGGGAAGGGGGAGTTTCAGCAGGCCCCCTTAGATTGGATGGCAGAATCAACTGTAGGAAGGAGGTGCTTGATATAAGCCAGGGTACATCAACAGGGCCAGCTTTGAAAATTGATGTTACCCAATCTTTGATACATAAGACAAAATCTAGCATTGTGTTCCAAGTCATCATCAAAAACAATAAAATCGATAATCTGTTTTTTATGTCACATGTATACTGGGATTCATTTCACCAACTCTGGTGCGGTCATAATTAGTATAGAACTCTTGCTAAGATATATTTAAGCAAATGCACAGTATACAGTAATGGTTGTCTCTGTCCCTACAATCTCTCTCAAGCTTTGCTGAGGCAACTTCATGCTGTGTGTAGAGTCAAAAACTTTTATTTGGCTCCAAAGATATGGTAGGCAAGGAGAAAGGCACTTCCTACTAAGAAAGGTAAGCCGATTTACCTTCCATCAGATAAAAAGAGTCCCTCAGCTCCCAGGCTAAGTAAAGTCAGGGAGCAACAATGTATTAGCTGAATTGGATTCTTCTGTTCAGTCTGGAAAATTCAGAATGGCCAAGTTTCAATTTCCAAAAATCTGAAGTAAGGAACTGTAAGCAATAGAATTTAAACCTTACTGGAATAGAACACAATAGCCTAAAAGCATAAGGCATCCATTTCTCCTTCCTCCATCCCTCTCTCTCTCCCTCTCTTTCCCCCCCCTCTCTCTTCTCTTCTCTTCTCTTCTCTTCTCTCCTCTCCTCTCCTCTCCTCTCCTCTCCTCTCCTCTCCTCTCCCCTCCCCTCCCCTCCCCTCCCCTCCCCTCCCCTCTCCTCTCTTCTCCTCTCTACCTAACTTTACAACAATTCTGGGTAGCATATAATAAAATCAATCCTAAAATACAACTAAAAACCCAGATGTTTTGAATAAATAAATACAGTATATTAATAAGGAATAATAAATAATATTCTATTTTATTCTCAAAACAATAATTTATAAGCAATAAAACCCATAGGACCTGCCACTTACTCTAACCCAATACCTGGGCAAAGAGTCAACTTTTCAGGATTCTTTTTAACATAGCCAGGATTGGGGGTAAGGTATAAATAGGAGATGTTCCAAAGGGTAGGTACTGCAACAGAGAAGCCATGCTTCTTAGATCCACTATGTCACTATGTAATGGAAGGGATCTATGCATCTCAACTCTGCTGGATTGTGTAAAATGAGCAGAAATCATAGAAGAGAGATTACCTATCTCCTATATCTAATCTGTAAAATACATTAATTGCCCCAATGTTATTTTTTATTTAACTCTTTAGTGGTAAACTCTTGCTAGTGGTCCAGTTTTAGAACCCAAGATGGAATGGAGTAATGAGCCAATCTCCAGATTACAGCTCTACAGTGTGATCCAAAGGTATCAAAGTAAACATGAAGAGTTTTCTATTTTGTGATGGAAATTAAGATAACTGTATCTGCACTTGTCAAACATGAGATGCTTCAGCAACAGAACCCTAAACTGTATATTGCAGATAAAGGGGACCCATATATCAGTTTTTCATTTTTCAATCTCTTACTTTTAGAAAGAGAAGATGCCAAGAAAACTAACCAACGAATTAATCAATCAACCAACCAAACTAGCTATCTGTTGAAGGGAGGATTGGACATTAACTTTTCAAATACTCCATATCTGAATCTTAGGTAGAACAGATGGCGAAATATAATGCACCCACTGGGTGTTAAATGCAAGCTGTAAGGGACAGAAAAGTGTGAGAAGGAAAGGTACAAATAATGAAGGTACATTTGATTTGCCTTGCTTCTGATGAGGCATAAAATAAAATGTAAATAATTTCTGTGCAGAGAAAATTAGCATAATGGTTTTGGCATTTGCAGCTTGAATGAGTTTGCATTCCCTAAGCTAGCTCTGCAAAAAAAAAAAGAAAAAGAATAACACCATTTACCTGGATTTGCAGGAAGGATTATATCAATTCTATTATCACTGTCAGTAATGAAACACAACTCTGATACCATTAACATCATGCAGAATAAAGAAGGTGTGATTAGTCTCAACTTGGATTTGCAATGCAATAAAAAAAAAATGAAAATGTTGTGAAGCTGGATATGCGCAATGAAGAAGGTAAGTGCTATAACCTAAGTTTCCAATGCAGAAAAGTGTCAATATTACAAATATGGGTTTGCAATTAAACCACCGTCTCTGTAAGTTCATTGTTACAAAGCTATAGTTAGCAATGACCTGGATTTTCAGTAAAGACGATGGCTAATTTTTATTTTAAATTATTTAATCTCTGTATGAAAGGAAGTCCTTGTTATTAACAGTAAGTGCTTTAAAATTAGGGAATATCCATTTGATGACAAACAACAATTACATAGAATCACTGGGCACAACCTAGACACATTACATGCAAATGAACTTTTTTTTAAAAAAATATTCTTACAGTGGAATTGTCAACTAGGTCCTTAATACATTCCAAGAACTTAGCAAATGTCTTCCTCTTCTAATTAGAATATTATTTATTTTTCCAAAATATTTTGAATCAATCTCAGAAAACATTAAAAAAAAAAATCCTTATTGTCCTGTATTTTGCAAAAGTAAGTAAGAGGTAAGTAAGTAAGTCATGCTTTACGTGCCTATCAAGAAAAGGAGAAACATAATTCACAAACATAGTTTGCTATCTTACATTTACACACTATGTTACCTTTATCTTGTCCTTTGCTCTCCTGATTAGTTTTATCTACTTCAGGATCCTGAGGTTTCTCTTCCTTTATTGTCTCCTCCTGGGTTATCAAAGTATCTGAAAAGAGGTGTTGGGGGAGATTATACAGAATAGTGGCCAGGAGATACCATTAGCATAATTTACAACATTTCCCCCAAATAGTACACCACATGGTTATAAGTTTTATACTAGGTAGTATGTTGCGTTAGTCAATCCAATTAAACACCACTCACATCTTGAATTAGTTCATAAAAACCCAATTTCATGAAATGGCTATCAATCAGAGGTGGGTTTCAGCAGGTTCTGACCAGTTCTGGAGAATTTTAAGTAGTTCGGAAAACCGGTAGTGGAAATTTTGAGTAGTTTGGAGAACTGGCAAATACTACCTCTGGTTGGCCCCAGAGTGGGGTGGGAATGGAGATTTTGCAATATCCTTCCAACAAGAGTGGGAAAGGAATGGGGATTTTACAGTACCCTTCCCCTAGAGTGGGGTGGGAATGGAGATTTTACAGTATCCTTCCCCTGCCATGCCGACCAAGCCCCTCTCACCAAGCCAAGCCACTCCCACCAAGCCATACCCACAGAACCGGTAGTAAAAAAATTTGAAACCCACCACTGCTATCAATACACAGTTTTCTGTGTATAGGACTTGAATGTAACTCTTTATGAAACTCACATGTCAGTAAACAGCTTACCCAGTTGGAGAATTTAATTTAATGTTAAGTGGTTCAAATCTACTGCTTATTTGGGCTGAGAAACATTCAGTACAAAGTATCTAAATTTCTAATTTTTTTTAAAATAAACAAAATAGGTGTATAGAAAAGATGGTTGGACTATTCAGTAAAACCTAACAGGATTTAACAGAGACAGCAAGGGAAATAATACTTATTTCCATGAAACCATTTTAGTAGTGGAAATTCTCTGGAATGTACAATTATTATTTCTTGTTCAGAGCTCCAAAGTAGAATCTAAAGAAGGCATTTGTTCCCCAGATCTATATTTAAATACTAGTTGTAATTAAAAAATAATGTTTCCAATGGTGTGGACTTTATAAATAATTGATTGAACATTTTGAACATTTCTCCTCTTCTTTTGAACAAAAACTACCTTCAGCTTCCATGTCAGAGATTTGAGAATCTGCCTGAGTATTCATTTCAACTTCTGAGGAATCATCTTGCAGTCCTATTGTGTTAAAGAATGGAAAATGATGTCAGTATGATATTAATGTGCATTTTTAATTTAAGAAATGTTTAAAGGCTACTTTCTTTCACTGAAAGGAAGATGTTCCTCTATTTAAGACAGTCCTTCCATACAGGAAGATAGACATAAAGACGCAAAACTTCTGCACATTGTCCAGTTCCTACTCTGATAACTAGGGGAACTAAAATCAATTCAATAAATGAGTATGTGTGTCTGTCACAATTAGAGTTATAAAGAGGGACTAGGACAGTGATGGCTAACCTTTTTGCTGTCGCGTGCCAAAAGCGGGGAGAGTTGGGGGGATTGCATGCGCATGTGCCCACACCCATAATTCAATGTGCCCCGTCCCCCCATGCATGCACATGTGACCCCCCCGCTTTTGGCACGCGATGGCATGGTGGGCCCAGTAGGCCCATTTTTTGCCCTCCCCAGTCTCCAGAGGAAGGTTCTTTCTAGGAACCTGGGGAGGGCGAAAACGGCTTTCCCCACCCCCCCAGAGGTCCTCCGGAGGCCCGGAAACAGCCTGTTTCCCGACTTACAGTGGGCCTGGAAGGCCCAAAAATCAGCTGGCCAGTGTGCTGGACTGAGGTAGGGCAACGCCCACAGATATGGCTCCGTGTGCCACCTGTGGCACCCATGCCATAGGTTCGCCATCACGGGACTAGGATATTTCCAATGCTCTTTTTGTTTTTTTATCCAGATTCAGGAAAGTGAGAAACAAACACATGCCACAGGCCCTTCTCTAGAAAGGCAGGGCTGGTGAAAAAAAAATTGGTGATAATTGATATTGATAAAGGAGAATATTTGTAGTTCAGGGTTGAAATGAGGGGTACTTGGTGCTCTCTGAGCTTGGCTGTTTTCTTGCAGTCGTTTCATTACCCAAACTAGATAACATCATCATGCTGGTGAATTGAATTAATGACTATTGGATAAAATGAATTGTCTGTAAATTAATGGTTGGTAAAATCATTTTATTCCCCACCTGCACAGAAATATTTCACATACAAACTATTGTACTTGCAAGAGGGGAGGAGAAGCTATCTGGGCCCTTATTGCATCCTTATTGTGTACTAAGTACCATTTAGTGTGTGACACTTTATCTAAAGTATCTATAGGCTTGGCCTGTTTGCTGGCTGACAGAAGTCTTTGTGCTGGGCTACAAACACAAGGGACCCTCCCCAATCTTGCGCTACAGCAAATCTCACAAAATTCAGTATCTTTTACTCCCAGGTAAGTTTTGCACAGGAGTTTCAGTCTTATTCAGTTATCACGCTAGCTTCATTCTCATTTCATTCCCATCCATATGTAAATGCTGAGTGTTGTAAAGACCCTCCCTATCCATTGAGATAGCATTTTTATGGCCTGAGATTCTAATGACAGAGAGTAACAAAGAGAAGGAAGGGCAATGGTATCTGTCCCTGTGGATTTATGCTATATAGCAGCTTCTTCCCTTCTTTTGCTCAGCTTCATATCACTTCTTTTCAACTGCCCTCTCATTAGTTGCCTTTCAACTTTCCTGTTCACTTTCTGTATTTTCAAAACATTTCAAAACTTTCCCCATTCTTAAATCACATTTGGGGAGAAAAGCTCATCTTCATTTCTAATAAATATGATATTGATCAGAACATGTGTACAAAATTAGAGATTACACTACTGAAATTGATTATTGAAGTTTTGGAGTGTTGCCCTTAGCCATGTATGAAACAAAGTTGATTGAAGATGTGAAGAAGCAAATTGATTTTATTAATGAAAAGAACCAGTGATGCCATCAAACTATTTATTATGATTCTGTAAAGGATTGTAGAAGACATACCATCAGTTTGATCTTCTTCACAGGTTGCATGAGGCACTGGATTAGGCTCTTTTGTATCTGGGGATTCTACAGAAAAATAAAACAAATAAAAATGACTTTGCTTCTCTATAGATTTTCTGAGCAACTTTTTATGATCCCTCATAGTTTTAAAGGTATTTAAAATAATTTTCAAAATGTTTGATTGATCGATATTATATTACATTAAATTACAATTAATACAATTGTATTTTTAACGTAAAATACTGAAACCACTAACAAATTTATAAACACGCTTAGATTATATTCTTCTTCATCTATTTCACTTTAATAGAATTTACAACAATCATATTCATTCTCCTGAAATTCTGAAATATTTCATTGGGATTAAGCAAAAACTCAGAATAAGGATTATGCAGATAATAAAAACGGTACTTAATTTTAGAATTGCCAAGGCAGAGATGTTATAGTCTTGGTGATTTCACAAATAACTCTTTCCCATAATAATAGAATGAACTGAATTTTACATGGAAAATAAAATGTAACCCACATCCTCCTTGTATTTTGGAACGGTTCACTCTGGACAAAAACAATTCAGCATCATGACCTGGGTGGTGTTGTCAGCATTCAGACGGTCTCCTTAGAGGAGGAAACCACAGTGCTCTCCTTTTCCTCTCCTGCAAATCATTTCAGGAATGACAGGTGAAGACTTCTAACATGTTATTTTTCCAATTCTAAATAAACTAGAGGGGAGAAAAGGCCTCTAGCCCATGCTTAGCCTATAATTTACCTTTTTCTTTCACTGCATGAAAAAAAATAAATTTATATCATTTCTAGAAATAGACAGCTTTGAAAAGAAGACCTGGCCTTTACTCTCTGTAAATAAACCTCTGAATGAACTTCACAAACAAAACTTCACAATCCAGGAATAATGGTGTAGGTACGCAAAGAAATGTTGCGCAGAACAAAATCCTCCAAATTCAGCATCTGGCGCTGAATATGTACAAGTTCTTGCTTGATCAGCTCAGCATGCAAAAGCCTTAACAGAACTTTAGCCATGCTTGGAGGATGAGGATGGGAGTAGAAAGAAGGAACTAACTCTGAATCCTCTTATCCCAGCTTACTTGTACTGTTGTCAAAAATGCAAAATCCCTCTACTGAAGATACTTTTACCTTTAACACTGTGATGAAGATGGGGGTCTCACAGTAAATGGGAATCTCAAATTGACTTCCCTCCTTTTGAAACTTATCCATCTCCAAATATCTCATGGTTATGCTTTTTCCTAACATAGAGACTTAGAGTTCCACTCCAGTCAACCAGGTTAATGGCAAGATATGGTATAGCTGAAATCTAAAATACTTTGAGAAGACCAAGTTGCCATTCCTAATGTATATCATTTATAAAATCATATACTCAATAACTATGGTAGCTGTTGTAATGGTATGCAATCTATGCCATCAAAGGCATTGTTCTTCCAAAACATCAGCCTCAATGCTATTTTATCTCCAGCTGGGTCACATTCAAACTAAAACTTGGAGTAATTTCTATAAATGTGTGTTTATTAAAATATATCTAGCAGTAAGCAATGAACTAATGAATAGCATGAAAGTAACAGCTTCCAAAGACTGCCAAATACTATCATTGTGGAATATATGGGAAACCTGGGCAGTTAACATCTGATCAAAGTTTAATAATCTGTAAAATGAGAATGCATCAAAAGTTAGTGATTTTAATTAATTGTAAATAATTCCCCAAGGCAAATATTTAATTACCTCCACAGCTTGTTTAAAGACAAAGTCAAAAGTTGAAGTAGAACTCAAGTATACATATTTTTCAAATCATTTGTACTTAAGCTTCTCAAATTAATCCACAGAATATTATTAATCGTATTTTAAATGTAAAATGCTTTCTGCCAATACTATCAAAATGAGACAGGGAAAGAGACTTTTGAATTAAACCACGGAAGCAGAAAAAAGCTAGGCAATTTAAACAATCCTGATTAACAGTGTGCTACAAACAGGGAACAGGTGTACAGCAGAAAGATGCCTGCAGAGCAAATAACTTCAGACTATTCAAGCAAGCCAAGCCACAGGAAAGGGAAAGAAAGAAAGAAAGAAAGAAAGAAAGAAAGAAAGAAAGAAAGAAAGAAAGAAAGAAAGAAAGAATAATTTCATTAAATAATCAGTATAATGATGTACCTTGCCCCAGATTTATCAGTTCACATTAGACATTTGCTAATAACTGGTCACAATACTAGCAACTAAAATAGACATTAATTTACATTTTGTACAGCAGATTGCCAGGAGAAATATCAACAACCTTAGATATGCAGATGATACCACTCTAATGGCAGAAAGTGAAGAGAAACTAAAGAGTCTCTTGATGCTGGTGAAGAAGGAGAGTGCCAAAGTTGGCTTGAAACTCAACATTAAGAAAACTAAGATCGTGGCATCTGGCCCTCTCAATTCCTGGCAAATAGATGGGGAAGAAATGGAGGTAGTGACAGATTTTATTTTCCTGGGCTCCAAGATCACCGCAGATGGGGACTGCAGCCAAGAAATTAAAAGATGCTTGATCCTGGGAAGGAAAGCTATGGCAAATCTAGACAGCACACTAAAAAGCAGAGACATCACTCTGCCAAAAAAAGTGCATATAGTCAAGGCCATGGTTTTCCCAGTTGCAATGTATGGCTGTGAAAGTTGGACCATAAGGAAGGCTGAGTGCCAAAAAATTAAGGCCTTTGAACTATGGTGCTGGAGAAGACTCCTGTGAGTCCCTTGGACTGCAAGGCGATCAAACCGGTCAGTCCTAGAGGAGATCAATCCTGATTGTTCTTTAGAAGGCCAGATCCTGAAGATGAAACTACAATACTTTGGCCACCTAATGAGAAGGAGGGACTCACTGGAGAAGAACCTAATGCTGGGAAAGATTGAAGGCAAAAGAAGAATGGGACGGGAGAATGAGGTGATGGAGTCACTGAAGCAGTTGGCGTGAGCTTAAATGGACTCCGGGGGATAGTAGAGAACAGGAAGGCCTGGAGGAACTTTGTCAATGGGGTCATGATGGGTTGGGCATGACTTCACAACTAACAACAACAAAGAAAAGCAAGGTGATCCAAATCATAAAAAATCTTTCTGTGTTGAAGCAATATTGCATTTAGTATGATCTCTGTTTTTTTTTATTGTTTCTAGTTCAATGTTAATAAACCATTCAGTACAAATAGGTAAGAATCTAACAAATTACAAAAAATAATTTTACACAATACCCATAGATATAATTACATTTTTGGTGCCCTACAATTAGTCCTCGACTAACAATCATTTGTTTAGTGACTGCTCAAAATTACAATGGCACTGAAAAATGTGACTTACAACTGGTTCTTGCACTTATGACCATTGCAGCATCCCACGGTCATGTGATCAAAATTTGGGTACTTGGCACCCAGCATGTATTTATGATGGTTGTGGTATCCCAGGGTCAAGTGTTCATTTGTGACATTCTCAGCTGGCTTCTGTCATGCAAAGTGAATGGAGGAAACCAGATTTGCTTAACAACTATATGTTTAAAGCTTAACAATGTTTATTTGACCATAGTGGTCAAAATTTAAGATGGCAGTATGCCAGAGGAGAAACTATACTTAGCGGTGGCGATATCTTCCATATAGGATAACAGTTTTGGACTGAGAAGGCAAAGTTGGAGTTACCGGCTTGCCTTGACTGCACAGACTGGAGTGTTTTTGAAGCTGCTTCAGCAGACTTGGATGAACTCACTGATACTGTGACATCTGTTTTTGTGAGAACATGTGTGCCGACCAAGAGTTTCGGCATATACAGTAATAATAAACCGCGGTTCACAGCTAAGCTCAAGCAGCTACATCGCGCCAAAGAGGAAGCCTACAGGAATGGAGACATGATGCTGTGCAATCAGTCCAGGAATATATTAACAAGGAAGATCAGGGCAGCAAAGAGAAAATACTCTGAAAAGAATCAGTTCTCAGCAAATGAACCAGCAAATGTGTGGAAAAGCCTGAAGAATATCATTCATGCTACAGCAGATCTCCCTCCCTTACTGGAGAAAATGAGCAACTGGCAGAGGACCTGAATGTGTTCTAGTGTAGGTTTGAGAGGAGATCACTGTCAACTATTGGTACTCTTCCCATCTCTGATACTCCAACAGTAGTCAAATCTCCTTCACCTATCTCCATCCCTCTGGGCCTCCCTCCACTGGTGATCGTAAAAAAAAGATGTGAGAGGTCTAATTCACAGAGAAAAGACTGGAAAAGCAACAGGCCCAGACGGAGTAATCCCTTTTTGCTTGAAAGTCTGTGCTGATCAACTGGCCCCCATCTTCATCCACATCTTTAATAAATCAGTAGAGATGTGTTATGTTCCTTCTTGCTTCAAATGCTCTAATATCATCCCGGTTCCCAAGAAACTCTCCATCAAGGAGTTGAATGACTACAGACTGGTTGCTCTGACATCTGTAGTTATGAAAATCTTTGAAAAATAGTGCTTGTCCACTTGAAAATCGTGGATCTGCTGTTAGACCCCCTTGGAGTTTGCCTACCGTGCAAATAGATTGGCAGCTGATGCTGTCAATATGGCACTGCATTATAGCTTGCAACATCTTGAATCCCCAGGGACCTATGCACAGGTCCCTTTTGTAGACTTCAGCTTGGCATTCAATACCACTATTCTAGAAATTCTTCACTCTAAACTGATTCAACTAGCGGTGTCTGTCCATACTTGTAGATGGATTATAAGCTTTCTGACAGATAAAAAGCAACAGGTGATGCTAGGGAAATCACATTGGATACCAGAGCAATTAGCACAGGCTGTGTGTTCTCCATTACTTTTTTTTCTCTATACCAAGAACTGCATCTCTAAGGATCTCTCTGTTAAAGTACTGAAGTTTGCAGATGACACAACAATTATTGGTCTCATTTGAGATGGTGATGGGTCTGCATATAGACGGAGGTTGAACAACTTGTCCTGTCGTGCAGCTGGAACAATCTGGAGCTGAATACATTTAAAACTGTAGAGATGAGATGGATTTTAGGAGGAGCTTTCCTATTCTACCACCTCTTACT